CCTGCCTTATCATTCCTTTCCGCCTTCGCCAGCATCGAGCCTTTGGCTTAGTGCTGACAAAGTTGGAGAAAATTTGCTGGGGCTGCAGCCTTTTTAGCCTTATCCAAGCTCACCGGACTCAATCTTCTTTACAAGACCTTGCAACTAGATAACCAGGGTGTGTAAGTGTCAAGGAAAAAAGGATATCCTCTCCCTGAAATGCTAACTTTCTACAAGCAGAGGCTTGCTTCTTTATTGGAAGGAGGTTCATTCGGTCATATCAGTCCCTGCAAAGAAAACTGTGAACTGATACAGATGGTCACCTCCATAGGAACCAGGCCTTTTTTATATATATAAATGTCATGGTTGTGTGTCTTCCAGTTGTTTCCAGCTTATGGAGACCCTAGGCAACCCTATCATGGGGTTTTCTTGGCAAGATTTAACTCTTGGCTCAGCCATGGAAACACACTGGGTGACCTTGACCAAGTCACACACTCTCAGCCTCAGAAGATGGCAACGGCAAACCTCCTCTGAAGAAACTTGCCAAGAAAACCCCAGGTTAGGGTCACCATAAGTGAGAAAAAGACTCGAAGGCACACAACAACAACAACAATTTGAACTGTGTGTTTTTATGTGGACTGTTAGCTGCACAGAGCTATTATGAGAAAGGGTTGGGTATAAACTGAAATAATAACAATATAATGTGTTAGCATTATTCTTAATGCCCTTCAGAGGATATCAGGTCTGTATACAGTCATCTTCATAAAACATTGTACAAACATAAGCAATCACAAAAGAATATTACAAAGCAGTTAAAAAAAAGGAAACCTTGGATAGGAAACCGCTAAAAAATAAATCCCAGATGCTGTAGGCTCTATTTCAGAGGAAAGAACTGGCAAAGCCACCTCTGTGTATTCTATGCCCAAGAAAACCCCAGGAAGTTCATGGGGTCATCATAACCCAACAAGCAACTTGAAGGCATATCCATACACCAAAACCTACTTGATAGCCAAATAAAATGCCTGGGCAAACAAGAACGTTTCCTGGGCAAAGAAAACCATGTCCACTTGGTGCCAACAGGATAACATACAGTTTTCCTCCAGCACACGTTATTCAGAGGTATACTGCCAATGAACATGGAGGTTCTATGTGCCACCATAATGAGGAAGGCTGATTGAATAGCGGGGAGAGGCAGTAGGGTATAGAGTAAGTATTTGAACCTTTCTTATTCCAATTTCACTCAGAGGATGTGTCAGCCAACACTAATACTGGCATACCTGTCAAGGCTGTTGTGAGATCATTTATTTGAGATCTATCTGTATGCCTCGCTATATGAAAATTAGAAAATCATAGAATTGGAAGGGTTCCCAAAGGTCATCAATTCCAACCCTCTGCTCAATGCAGGATCTCCAGCTAAAGCAACCCCAGCAGGGAGCTGTCCAGCCTTTTTGGGGGGATATCAGTTCAAGGAGGTCTTTAATGTGGGCCTCCCAGGCACCGATCTAATATAACAGTATCTCTTATAGCAGTATCTGAACTACAAAATTATGCACAGTTCTACACCCCTTTTCACTGTCACAGCTCTGTCCCAAGGAATCCTAGGATTTGTAGTTTGGAGAGTCCTCTACTAGAGACCTTAACTCTACCCCCCTCCAATGCCTCTACATTACAGAGGTCAACCAATTTAATCCTTCCTCTCAAGGCATCTCACTTTGGGGGGGTGAGGGTGGACTATGGTTGTCTAAGAAAAAATTCTGGGTACCTCATCTAGCAACACATCCCAGATGGCATGAAACTAGTAACTACAAAAAGCAGCTATACCATGAGAATTCATTACAGGGCACTGCCTCTCAGCCTCTGATGGAGCGTGAGCTGTCTAGTATTTCAGACCACAGCACCCCAAAATTTATTCTTACAGGAACAACTCTGGACCATAGGGTGCAACCAAACATTCAGAGTCAAAAAGGGGTCCTTTGCTGTTACCATCAGAGTGGCTTTCCTTGTCTGAAGCATATATATATATATATATATATATATATATATATATATATATATAATTATAGAGTTGGAAGAGACCACAAGAGCCATCCAGTCCAACCCCCTTGCCATGCAGGAACTCCCAATCAAAGCATCCCCGACAGATGGCCAAGCACCCAGCCTTCAAAGCTATACTGCTCCAAAACATGGAGGTTCCTGCTTTACTTCTCACCAAAAGTTCAGTCCTCCAAGAATTAGTCCTAAGTCAATGTGGCCTAGTGGTCTGAGTGTTGGACTACAACTCTGAAGACCCAGGATTCGATTCCCAGCTTGGACATAGAAACCCACTGAGTGACCTTGGGCAAGTCATATGTTCTCAGCCTCAGGGAAAAGCCATGACAAATCTCCTCTGAACCAATCTTGCCAAGAAAACCCCCTGATAGAATTACCATGAGTTGGAAACGACTTGAAGGCACACAACAACAACAAGTGGCCATGACCACAATATCCCACCAGCTTAGTAGCCATCACAACTTTGGGTCAACCTCTGAATGCCCAAAGAGATCCTAGACCTAAGCATATCCCCTCGCACCTGGTACTCACATAAGATCCGGCCGGTGGCGATGAAGGATGGCACAGAAGGCCAAGCCATCCCGAAAAGAGGTGGTCATGTTGGTGATGCTGACATCTCTGTAGCCTTCACACTGCTGCTTACACCACTGCTGGAGGGCTTTGGTGGCTGACATCTTGGCCTGGGATGGCCTTGGAGGAATGGGAAGCTGACCAAAGATGGGAGCTGGATAAAATAGGAGACAATGGTGGGAAGATACTGGTGGGTGAGAGAAAAATAAATTATAGTAGGGGGAGAGAAAGACCCTCACCCCAGGCTCTGGTCTCTGGAAAGGGGTAGGTGAGGAAGCTGATGGATACAACTGGTGAGAAGATGGAGATGTTTGTGGGCAGGAGGCCAGGAAGGGGAACCAGAAGTGGAAAATCTATGGAAAAATAAAGCCCACCACCCAAGCCTATGGACTGCTGGAAGGGACAGGTCCAGAAGCTGATGGACAACACTATTGAGAAGATGGAGAGATGTTTGTAGGTAGGAGATCAGGAAGGGGAACCAGAGAGGGAGAGTATATCTGGAAAAGTAAGAGCCCCTCACCCAAAGCTCTGGGCTGCTGGAAGGAGTCCAATGGGGAAGCTGATGGAGAACCCTGTTAGAAGATGAAGAGATGTTTGTGGGGTCAGGAAAATAGTGCCCACCACCTAAGTCCCTGGGATAAGTGAGGAAGCTGAGGGACAACCCTAGTGAGAAGATGGAGAGATCTTTGTGGAAAGAGAGTCGATCATGGACACACAGAGCCCCACATCCCAGGGTCTGGACTGCAGGAAGGGGATAAGCAAGGAAAGGGATGGAGGAGAAGATGGGGAGATGTTTGTGGGTTGGGGATCAGGAAGGGGAACCAGGGACAGAAGAGGTATGGAAAGAGAGAGAGAGAGACCCTCACCCAAGCCTCTGAGCTGCTGCTGGAGGGAAGGAGCTGGGGGTCTGTCTGTCTCCCCAAGAGGATGCCTTCTCCTTGCAGTCAGTCCCCCGTTGTCTGTCTACAAAGTTCAAGTTCCCCTTCGCTCTTCCCAAGCCTCCTCCAGCCAAGAGATCTTTTCTGGACACCAAGGAGAGAGAGAAAG